AATTGTTATGATTTCATATATATTTATATATTATGTATATGCTTATATTATGATTCTGGGAATAATTATACATGTTTTACAGCAAGGGGTTAGATATGTTGATAAAGAAAACGATTTTGTAAAACATTTGTTTTTGTCCACTCACGTTTTCTGTTTTGCGTCCCTCCAGGTTTTAAGTAAGCTTGTTGGTGGCTTGAGGACGACGACAATTCTGACTTATCTAAATAATAGTAGAACATTCCTGGTACTATATAATTAGTACTTGTCCTACTGGACTGCACCTAGACTTAATATGCTCTGGTTATGAGTGTTTACTATTGTAACTAACTCCTATCACTTCCTGTTTAGTAGTGAACTCTAGTATTTCGGGTTTTTTTTAAATTATTCGTATAATTCTTATCTTTATTGCTTCCGCACTGTGCACATGACTACATCACTCTCATATGATGGCCAGCATGCTTTGATCTCGGTCGGGGTGTGTAAATGCAGGTATAGAGTTAGAAATTTCTTCTAGTGGGAGCCGTTTGCAATACAACTAAGAAAACTTTATAATAGTATAACTTATACTCAATATGATAATAAGGATGATTTCAAATGGCGACTATCACAATTACGATGTTAATTACAAAAATAGTGGAAAGTAGCAAAGTAATGAGAAAAATATTAGGACATGAGAGGCGGGAAAGGGGTTTCCGGTTTGAATGACAGAACAAAAATATTTTTGCTCATATAATATTTGGTAGGGAGTAAAGTAGTATGAAAATACGTTGGAATACATATATTTTCTTCAAAAATAACGAATATAAATATATATAACTATAGTCAGCAGCTTAACAAACAAATTACTTGAGTGAAGACATCTAAACTTGAAATACATATATTTTTTTCAAAAATAACGAACGTAAATATATATAACTATAATCAGCAGTTTAACGAACAAATTACTTTAGCGAGAGATTCTACTCCCAGTGGACTTCGTTGGCTCCATGATTATATGCATGTTTTGTCACTATCCTCGTCCTTCATGTTTTGGAATATAAATTGTCTCGTGGACATGACTTTTAAATTACTTGAAATGTAGTTCAAACTTCACGTGAAGAGGACAAAAGCTTTTGGGTTGATGGCGATATATGTACACATCACGCTTGTTTCTTTCTTTCTCTCAGAATTTTCGACCGCTCTCTCATCTGTCTTCCACTTTGCATTTGTCTTTCGTAATTTCATTGTTTGGAATGCGCATATATGCATGCATTAACTCTGGAAAGCAACTTGCACGAAATGAGCTTACGGTTACGTGATGACTTATTACAGTAGTGTTATATTTCTGTACGTGACATGATTTTATTGGAGCAGAACGCTATGAAAAGTTGATCGTGTTTCATTTAATTCATTCTTCGATAATATGGTTACAACGACACATATTACTGTTCTCGACTATGATGATATTTATCCGCGTCAAAACATCATACATCTTCACTATAGCAGCACTAAAATTATTTGTACATACACTCCAGGTTTTATAGCAAACTTTCTTCGATGTAATTTCAATGCTGCGTATCAATAAATGCTACAAACGCTTTATTTGTCACTAACTAAACTATACAAATATGGATCAAACTAATATATGTATATATCGATGTTCCACAAATCCAACACATGTAAGTGACCGGTTATAATATCATTTTTAATAATTGGAGTTTTTATTGTCATGTTTTAAATGTAATTTTCATGCATATAAAAGTAAAAAATAGTGATAAGAATTGGAAACTATAAATCTTCAGTCACATGAAAAATACAACATGCCAGAAAATATACCTCTGTCGGTCATGTAACGTCATAATTTATACCTAATATATATATATATATATAATTATATATCCTTGAGTAATGATACGGAGATCGTATTCTTAAACCACATTAATGTATTATTTTATGTTGAAAGTGATGCATAAAATTAACATCACTTTCATTAATTGACATGATATATAAACATCACTTGCCACATCAGATAATAATCTAATTTGGTACAAAAATATGATCATCCTGACATTTTCTTTTTTTATGTTTTTTTTTTTGTTACGGAATTTATTTGGTAATTTAAGTCAAATGATTTATACACATTCCTTTCTATTTCTTATATATATATATATATATATATATATATGTCATTGGATTAAACAAATTAAAGGTGAATAACGACATAATTAAGAGGGTGTGCAAAAGATTAAAAAAAATGTGTGAATCACTCCCAGTAATTCATATAAAAAATGAATCCCAGTCGCCAAATGCTGGCACACATTTTTTTTTAAGTATAAAGTAAACAGTGGAGAGAGAGAATCTACCTAAGATTTTTGGTAGATATACATTGGGATCAATGTGGTACGAGGATTATTCGGAATTTGAAAAATATATATGTGGATGTTTTTTTAGGACTCTTTGAATGTGTGCATGGTATGGGTCCATTTTGGGCCATCAAATATTTGATGGAATGCATGTTAGGCTTCCCAGAGGCATATCTCGGAAGCACTCAGTAGGTAATGTCGAGAGTACTTGACAAATCATCTTGATAACATTCATTAAATTGCTTCTACATATGTCAATATATGTTGACATGTGCACAACAATATTCGATTGACGACAACAAACCAATCAAATGTTTGACAAAATGCCTCAATGAATAAACTGAAATTTTTTGCACACTTCACACTCTATTGCTATTACAAAACTTAGACCTTTACACTAGGATTACCCAATGTTCGAATTTGTATTGGTAAATATTCTTAACTATTAAGATTGCAAAAATAAACATCAAATCTGATCTAAAAGTTCAAGTGTAAAAGTAAATACTCTGATTGCAAGTTTTTTATTTTTCTATGGAGTAAATTGTAGAAATGGTCCCTCAACTTTAATTTAATTGAAGCAATTATCCCTCAACTAAAAATTCATTAGCATTGGTCCCTCAACTCATCAAAACGCGTAGCTATGGTCATTTTCGTTAAATCCGTTAGAATTATGTCAAAATGAGTTATGTTGAAAGGACTATTGCTAGAATTGGGTTAAAGTAAAGGTACCATTGCTCTAATTGAGTTAAAGTTGAGAGACAATTTCTCCAGTTGGATTAAAGTTAAGGGACCATTGCTACAATTTTTTTTATTTGAGTTTTCATATTTGCCCCTGGATTCAACCTCATGTGCATGACACGTGACTCATTTTGACCAAAGTTCTCAAGGAGTTGACAAAAATGACCATAACTGCATATTTTGATGAGTTGAGAGACCATTATTAATGAATTTTTAGTTGATGGACTATTGCTCTAATTATGCTAAAATTGAAAAACTATTACTCCAATTTACTTTTTTTGAGAGAAGTATATCACCGCATTCACTTTATGGGAACAAGACAAAAGTCTAATTCATTTCATTTACCTAAAGTATTCATATATGAGAGAAGTGGATGTGGTGATGGTTCCATGGACCACCAATCTTTTGTTTAAAAGTGGATGTGGTGATGATTCCATGAACCATTAATTTTTTTTATTTTAAAAAACAAACGATATTATCTACACTAAGAGGAAATGGATGGGCTAAGCCTCACAATATGTTAGCAATAATGTGGTTCAAATTCGTCTTTTGCGAAAACCGAATCTAAGACCTCTCACTTATAAATGAAGAGAAATATCACTAGATCGTAGTACTAAGTGGCATGAACCACCAATCTTACACCTCTAGTTTTACTTTTTCCATAATTTGTTCTTCTTTCTTTGGCACTACCTCCTGCAAGATCATGCACCAAGAAAATAGGAGCACTGCCCTAATAGTGGGGCCGAGAAAAGTTGCGGCACTAAGCCTATGTGGTTGAAACATTTTTCCAACTCTTTAGGGGTGGTGGTGGGCCGTGGGGGGTAACAAAATGCAAATTGCATTGAAAACATGTAGCCCAAGTGAAGAAGGAAATTTTTAATGTGCCGCAAATACAATCTAGTACACAAATCACTTGTATAAGACGTTTGGTGTAATGGGCAGTGTTTCTAGCACGCTAACGAAGTGATGGGGCATGATTTTAGGTTGTTTGGGCTTGAGTAGTGATTAATTGTAGCGCCGGTTGTTTATATTCGTTTGTGCGGATTTTGTTCGTTGCACCGGTTGTTTATATTGCTGTGTTAGACTTTGGTTTGTTTTTCGTGTTTATGAGAACTCATTTCATGTAATGTTGACGTTTATTTGATGAAAGATATTTTTTTGTTGGACAAAAATGGAGTGGCGATGATTTGATTTTAGTGGATGTAACTGCTCACCGGTCACATATGTGCATGTATGGCTTTGTGTGGTAAAAGCTATACTTACCTAAAAGTCAACTTAAGAGTCCAATAGATGATGAATTAATTTGTTTTATTTTTATTTTATTTTATTTTATGGGTTTTTCTGGGTGTTGGATCTTCCAACAAAAGAGAGATGATGATAGCTCTGTTGCTTGAGAGGATTCCACTTATGGTGAATTATTATGAGTAGCACTTCATGGTAGGGTGTGGTGCATGTATAGCCCATTCACACATAGCTAGTTGGTGACGAGTACAAGGACCTTTGTGGAATTTTATTTTTAAGCATTCAGTGTTCAATCGAGTACTTCACGTGTCATAAAAAAAACTGAAGAGATACCGTTGGAAGTTGTCCATTTTTGGGGGTCTCAAATGGACGTGAGAACATATAACTCTTGAATGGAGATGGAAAAGAGACCTAATCTAGTTTCTATGGAAATGGCAAGATCTTGGCCAGAAGAAGATGGAGTTGACTCGTATCATTTTGACTTGATTCCGATTTCTCTATGTTCTTTTTTTTTAAGAATACCTAGTTGGGCTCTTCTCCTACCCGTATAGAATAGAACATGCTGAGCCAAAATCTTCTTTATGTAAAACCTACTTTATTTAAATCGGAAAAATCGTACCTAGAATTTTTTTAATCAACCTCGTTTTCCACTGCATAGGGGATTTTTACAACTCACAGTTAAACACATTTGTCAAACGATGTCTTTTGGGAAACGATATCCTCACACATTTCTTGCTCCTGTTATAGCACTTGCCAGTTTAGACATATCATTTACACGATAACAATATCATTTGGAATTAGGCTGCACGTTCAAAGGCGATCGCATTGGGGTCTGAACTCAGGTTTCCACCACCAGTTGGGAGATCTGTTTTACCCAGAAGGGGCATAGAGATTGGGATTGGGACCAGTAAGCCACTCCAAAATGCGTGCAGATTGAAGCTCCGGCGCGTATTTCTGCACAACTGCAAAACTAACAATGAGAAAGTCTTTATGGCACCAAATTGTCTACCGCCCCTCGCTGATTTGAAATAGCGTTCTTTCTTTACGAATAACACATGAAATAATACATCACAGACCACACCAAATGTACTATCCTTTGACACAAAACATATACAGAATTGCCAGATAACGATCATCAAAATAAATACTCACAGTTCACGATGAAGATTTGGACAAGTTACAACTCGCAAACAAGTTCATCAAATCTGCAACTGAGACATTTTAGACCGCCTTGACTTGCATGATAATACACCTTCAGCCATCCATGCCAAGCAACCGAAGTACTGATTGATGAACTCTTTCTTCTGAAAAGCAAAACTTCCACATAAGCCATCATAACAGATCCAGGCGCATACCGCTGCGCTCATGTTTGAAATCTTATCACTCAGTTGTTGAAATTTTAACGCTCACGAGGCACCCGCACTGCCCCACACACACACACACTCACACACAAAACACAAGCCTCTTCCATGAAGGCGAATATCGTAAGAAGATGCCATTCCAATTTGTTAATGAAAATAACGGAACTTTACAGCAATCCCGCAACAGCAGGCATAACACACCACACAAATTCGTGCACATGAGCATAAGCTGCACAAACATTCACATACACAGGAGCACCAACTGTCATACTTGAGAATGTTTAATTCTCGTACAACCTTGGATATAGGAAAACCAGTCTCAACCTCAATGCAGGCTTCTTTGTTGAATTACGTAACAAGAGAACACAAGTACTAACAGACAATGAACACTGCCTTTCTTCAATGCTAAACTGAAAGCATATTTGCTACATGCATGATTCGGCAAACCAGGAAAAAAAAATTGGAATAGCTTTCGTTGTTTTGTATGGTTGGGCATTTTCACCCTGATCCTAGTATGAATTTAAAGAAGGGGGGGGGGGTACATATGGTTCCATCAATTGTAGACACCATGACAACACATTTATATACGCCTTCCAGCAAAACAAAACCTAAGAACCTTGCTTCTGGAGACGCAAGTTGTTAAGAGCAGATGCCATCAATTGCTCCCCAGTAACTGATCTACACTTTTTGACGAAATCATCTCTCGCCAACTTTCCACCCTGCAACATTAAGAAATACCGAAAACATTTTTATTCTTAGATTACGTTTTATTGTTCATATCTTTTATAATACACAGAGAGACAATATGACCCACAATTCTGAACAGGTGAAAAGAAGATTCACCTTCAACGCGCAAACCAGAGAGGACAGTTCCTGAACTTTAGAAGGAGGAAGGTAGCTCTGAATCTTCGAAATTAACATATCTACAGGGTAAGCTCTTCGCGCCGAACCTCCCAATTGAGCTGAAATCCACAAAACAAAACCAGTTATCATCAATGAAACAAAAAAACACAATAAAGCAACCGTAACAAATAGAATCGAAAGAAACATACCTGGCACGTAATTCGATTTGTAGGTCACAACACACTCGGGAAGAACGTGTCTATTCATGTTGGTCGACCATATCACATACGACTTGGGATTCTTAGGATCATCTGCGCCATTATCGAAGTCCACACTAGTAGCATTGCTTAGAACCTGCCTCTACTTTTTCAACACTGCCTAGTATAACCCGGCACAAAATAGCATATTTTTCGCCATTATCATCCCGTTCCGACTGCGCACAACTGCAGAATTCAGCATTACAATATCAAATTATCAACAATTCAAAGGGAATGTTGGGCAACGGGCACCCTCGACTATACTGCGGCAGTAATATCTCCGAGTCAAAGCCGTATAAACGAGAAATGGAGATGGAGAATGAGGGCCATTTGGTCACATAATTCCAATTGGGTTTTTGGTATTGTTGAAATGAAACACAAATTTGAAATTACCTCAGGAAAGGCGCCGATAAATGCGAAAGGTGAAGACCGACGCCATGCGACTGCGTCCCAGAAACCTTGCTGGGTGCGCCGAACCCATGTGTCAAAATGCCTCTCACATCGCTGCCCGAGACGCCGCACCAGGCGTATACAACATTGGCCGAGCCCCGAGCCGCCTTGGTGATCTCAATCTGCTTCTGAAACACCTCCAATCGAGCCTTATCCAACGGTCCGTCACGAACGCGCTGATGAACTGCCGTCACAGCAGCCGAGAGATCGACCTTCCTCATCCCCGCGAGAAACAAATTGCTGCACACTGTGTAAACCCTCTCAACTCCTCCCAGCAACCTCACATTCGGCCACTCCGAACTCAGCGGCCTTATCGACGATGTCACTTCGTCCTCATCCGCCGGCTCTTCCACCGTCCGCCTCTTGCCCAAAACCCGACCCGATACATTGACCCGTTGGTTGATTTGGACCTTCGGACTATCCGACCGGTCCACCAAATCCTCGCTGACAAACGCCTTAGGGAAGAAGGGCCTGCCGTTCACGTCAATCCAAGCGATAGATCTCTGACTCCCAGCCCCCAAATCAATCTGCAACATTCGCACAAAGTCAAACAACACCGTTGACCCCTCCATGTCAACGCTGACCACCGCCTTGCGCTCCGCGAAACCTGCACGCAGAAATTCGACGATCGGGTTCGGCAAGTCGTCCCAGGACTCGTTCTGGAAGAACATAACCCGTGCCGGGGCGGCGCTCCGCTTGAAATTGGAGGGGTAGTGCATCCGATTGGACGTCCGATTGCAGAAGTTTTTAGAGCTCGCTGAGGAAGACGACGGCGAGAGGATCCCCTTCGGAACCCTAACGGTGACCGATTGGAGGATTTTCTTGGGGGTGGTGGCGGCGTAGGAAGCCATGGATTCTACTGCGTAGAGCTTTTCGAGCTGATGCGACGGCCTCACAGAACTCAAAGAACTCGTAGAATCAGGGGACTTCGCGTTGGCGTACGGTTTTTATCGCGGGAATTTGGGTTTGCATGAAATTACTAGAACGCCCCCTTTAAGGCGGTGCTTTTTGTTCGAATGGTTCGAGTTGATGAAAGGGCATGCGAGGTAATTTGCGCGTGGGTTTATGCGGCTGCCGTTTCGGTTTACTTCGGCCCAAAGGAAATTAATTGAAGAGAGAGAGAGAGACCGTTGGAATGGATTAATGAGGTGGCTCTGGTAATTTGAATGAGTTTTTATAGTGCACAAGGCGGAAGGAAATCCTTTCGGGACAAGGAATCCCATTCTTACTAGGAAAATGAATAAAAAACCGGTTACTTAAACACGTGCATGGCACGTGACAAGGGAAATTATGTGGGAAAAATAGAAAAGTGAAAAAGTGAAAAGTTATGAGTTTATGCAAGTGATCCTCTACCACGCAGAGAGGAGTATTGCTTCTTGCATCATAGGATGGGTTCGAACTCTGTCGATTTCTTAATATAATATTTAATTTAACGAATTTATCGTTGCAAAAAAAAATGTTATGAGTTTATGAGTTGTAATTTATTTTTACACCCAACTTACTCTTTGCACCTATTTGATTTTTAACTAAACTATTAATATCTCTTTAAACTCTAATTTACTAACTAATATGCCTCTTAAACACAATTCAATATGTAAATTTATTTTTACACCCATTTGATTTTTAACTCTATCAAAAGTCGTTGCTTTACTTTTTAACTCATCTTGATTTGGATTGGATTCCCTTATTCATTCCAGGAGTTCAATGTGCTAGACTAGGAGGAGAAAGTGGTTGATGGATTTTATGATGTATATGGACTTTCCCCAGATTCAGCAATTCAAGGAAAAATGCCATCTCTCACAAATCTTGAAACAAACCTTGGGAGTTCTGGATTCAAAGTTTCATTAGTAAATCGAAAAGTTGATCCCGTCTTGGAAGAGCTGGTGCAAATTGCACAGTGTATTACTGTCTTATCACCAATGTTGGTGTTTTAGTTCAGAGGCTTGCCGAACTCGTCAGTGAACGTATGGGTGGGCCTGTAAAGGATGCAAATGTCGTATTAGCGAGATGGATGGAAAGAAGCACAAAGTTGAGGACATCAATGCAAACTAGTGTGCTGCCTATTGGATCCATAAATGTTGATAAACAAAAAGTGATCGTAAGGTTTAATTATAGTGCTTGAGTTTATTGATAAATTTGAATTTTATTATTAATTTCATTTTGTAGTTAATAGTAATTACACAATAGGGTAAAATAGACAATTAACATTTAAAATTTAAGTTGGGTGTAAAAAAAAGGTTACATGAGAATCAAACATAACACCTCTAACTTAGAATATAAAATCTCAATGTCAAATTTAAAAACTCAAGAAAGTAAATTTCAATTTATATTTGATGAAAATTAAAAATAATTACCAAACAAGATTTCAGTTCTAAAAAATGTGAAAACGAAATGGTTATTCAACGATTCTTTAGTTACTTTTTTGACCTAGAAGTTAATTAAACTCGACTTTGCACATTTTTAAGTGGTTTCTCTTTATTGTGTGTTACCTTAGTCAGTTAGAATTGCTTGGAAACACTATGAATATATTGTGCCGGCTAAGGCTTAGTGAAAAAGGTATTATGGCCTAGACGCGTTTTCTATTCTATTATTTACTCAATTAAGGAAAGTACATATGCATAAGAATTCCTAATAGACTTATGATGGCGTATCCTATTAGGAACTTTTTGACCTTCTTTCCATACATTATCTTATTAGGATTATGTACTCTATACACGTTATATAATAGGGTGAACTGTGAATTTAATCCTTGAATTATCATATGAGTGAAAATTAGGTTCCTAAATTATCATTTTTCAGAAAAATAAGTCGTCAAATTATAAAAATTTGCCAACTACATCCCTAATATTAGATTTGAAACTACCATATTTCAATATTCCGTCAATTTAAGTCACGTTACTTGCATGTGATACACATTGAAACATAGATTGGTAATTTTTTTGTAAAGAAATAATATATGGATCAACTTTGGAGAGTAAATTAAAGGTTAGATTCGCAACTTATATGAAATGTTAAGGCGTTTATAAGCGAGAAAAGAGCGGTATTATACTCTAAAGTGTGTCAAGTGACTTAACTTTGACGAAAAATTAGATAAAATAACTTTGAATGTAATAGGAGGGTTGAAATTAACAATTTTTAGTGAATTTAGGAACTTATTGTATTGACAAAGACCTAATTTTTAATGAGGTGATAATTCAAGGATTAATTCGACACTTCACCCTATATAATATGCTCATTAGATATCGTAACTTATCGAGTAGAAACCAGTAAGCTGCCTTGCTACACATGTCGAGTGAGATTCAAGAATATTTCTATCAAATCTGTCAATTACTACTATTGTGTGTTTTAATCATACGCGCATTTTACATTAACATAAGCTATGGGCCGAAGCCTTTTCTCATATATTGGGTTTTCAGCGCAACAGTACACAGCCTTCTGGGCCGGGTCATCCTTAACCAGACCGGAGAAACCAATCCGGTTCACCATATTAGGGATTTCATGCTTTTGGCTTCCCAAAACCAAAACACTCGTTCATCGGAAGAAGGAAACCAACGTCCAGAAGTTGAACAAGTTCTGTCTTCCGACCAAACGGAAACCTCTGCTTCTTCCGAATCCACCACAACCGGTGAGTCTTTGACTTTACCGATCAGTTTCTCATGTTCTCCTGTCTCTTATTTCTTTTTCCAAAGACAAATTTCGTGTGTTCTTGCAATTTGGGGGCTGAACTCTAGTCTTTTGCAATTTGGGGCAGGTGAGGGAACTTTCATAGTACCTACATTTTCCTAGCTGCCAAACAAGATATTAGGGGTTTTGTTGTGTCTGCTGGTTTTGTATCATTTGTTGGTAAAAGTGTTTGCAATTGGGATAAGGGTTTGTTTATTATATTTTATTCGAGCGATATTCGAATCTAATCTAAACTACGAGGAGGAGGATTCGAAGTGGGATAAGTTACTGTAGCGTTTACTGTGATTTTAGAGCTCTACTGACTATTTTCGGAGGCCCCGAATGTTAGATTCTTCTTATGTTTTATTGTTTTTGTGATTCTATGCAAATTGCAGTGCTGTTGGTCTGCTATAATTTGGGTAGAAATGTCGGCTCCATTGACGCCTTCGAAGAGACCACATGAGGAGAGCGTTACGGAGACTAATGGGAAAGGGAAGTTGCAGAAGTCTGAAAATTTAGATTCTAAGCTCCCCGCTGGCAATGTTGCTTTCCGGGTGCTGTGCCCTGCGTCCAAAGTTGATAATGTCACTGGTGAAGGTGGCTCTGTCATATCACAGATTTTTCAAGAAACTCTTGTAAAGGTCAGAGTCGAGGAACCTGTTCCGGGATGCGATGAAAGAGTTATTATCGTGGGTTCTGATAGAGAGAATGATGTTGGTAGCGAGCATAGAAAGGAGGACGGCATTGAAGATGCAAATGTGGATGAAAAGCAAGATGACGCTAAGGAGCCAAGAGAGAAGGATGAAACTCAGGAATCTGTTCCTATCGAAGATTCAAAATCTGATACTGAAGATTCAGTAACCCCATCTTTGCAGAAGGCTCTGCAACTTGTATTTGAGAGAATAGTTGAAGGGGAAACGGAAACCGATGGAGGGGATGAAGAAAGTAATAAGTCTTTGACATTTGTTTGTAGGTTACTAGTCCTATCATCTCAAGTGGGATGCCTCTTGGGAAAGGGTGGTAGTGTTATCAAACAAATGTCATCTGAAAGTGGGGCACAAATCCGGATCCTTCCCAGGGATAAACTTCCATTATGTGCTTCAGCTTCGGATGAACTAGTGCAGGTAACTTCAAATATCACTATGTATTATGTAATGCTATCAACCATTGCTGCGGAAATACCTACTTTAACGTTTTCCATCACTTAATTTTAATATAATCAGCAGGGTTGTCAAATGCTCATGCAATGGAATAGTGCGGATGTAATATTCACGCATTGGGTGTATATTTAAGCATTGGAAATTTGCACATTACAGTTGACTTTTGTGTACGTTAATATGTTGACAATTCTGATGCATAAAGATCTATTTGGACATCATATTATGATAATTTTGCTGCAGATTACGGGGAACATTGATGCAGCTAGGAAAGCCATTGAATCTGTTTCCCAGCAGCTTTTGGAGAATCTGCCTCGCGATAGTGATGATTCCCTTCCCACCACCGGGCCATCATCTAATTCATTCGGTCAACCGCTTCCAAGACCAGAAATATATCCACCACCTAACCATTCTCAAGGAGCTCCTGATATTGATCAGCCTGGAGATTTTGCTGATTCCCATTCTGCTGCTCATCGATTAAACCCTAAATTACATGGAAGTGGCATCCCTCGTAGGATGAAGCCTTCTCAGGAAGTCCTGACTTTCCGCTTATTGTGCCCTGAAGAGAGAGTAGGCGGTGTAATTGGAAAGGGAGGAACCATAATAAAGACACTCAAGCAAGAGACAGGCTGTGAAATCAAGGTTATGGAAGGCGTGCCTGACTCAGACGATCGTCTTATTGTTATATCTGGTCCTGCGGTATGGTTTTGGATTTTTATTTTTATTGGACTTGTGTTGTTTGCACACACATAAGAAAAAAAGAGACACATTGACAAATAGAGACATGTACATGCCTGCACATGAACACAAACTAAACTTTTTGACAAACGATTTACTATTGCAGCACCCAGATGATAGGATATCACCTGTCCAAGATGCCGTTATTCTTGTGCAAAGTAGGATATTCAGGGCTATACCTAATATCAAGGAACAATCCATGATGGCGAGGCTTCTTGTTTTCTCTAATCAAATTGGTTGTCTCCTTGGAAAGGGTGGTGCCATCATTGCAGAGATGAGAAAGTTATCTAGGGCACATATCCGCATAATGGGGAAGGATCAAATTCCAAAATGCGCTTCAGTTGATGAAGAAGTTGTTCAGGTATATTTCTTTAGTGCATGTGTGGTTCTTTCAGCCTGAAAAGGTTGGCCATATCTCTATTTGGGGTATCATTATATGTGAAGTTGCTGCTATTGCTTCTCAGTTTAGTTGCTGTAACCCTTTATGTGGATATGTGCATGTTGCTATTA